ATTAGGAATTATATTATAGCAGTCTTAAATTACTGCATCGCTGTCGAGTGACCCCATAGGACGAGCAAGCCTTTGATTGCAAATTCAATGTCGAGATCAGCGCCTAACATCAGCCTCACTTACATTCATGCGACCGAGTTCATGGCGTATCGCCGGCCATGTCGTTTCGGATATTGAAACGTGGGCGGCATTTTAATAGGGATGCCGGTACGATCGCACTTCCCATGTAGGTTGATCAAGTACACTAAAACTTACCCCTCAGTTTGGCCTAATGGAGCTTTTGCCGTTATTACCTGAGTACACATGACGAAGATGGTTCGTTTTTATCATGCCCCGGTGAGAATCAGCCTTAGACCTGCGACGACCTGCCGTCCGGTCTCCAGGAGGAGAGATGTCAGGCTAGCTGGCATAAATTGCGCTGTGAGAATATAATAATGATAAACCAGCAATGTTCTTCCGGTTATTGCCTATTCTACGGAATGGCGCGTCACACTACCGGCCACAGGACCACAAAACAAACACACGTGGACTACAGAAATAGTATACTCCTGGACTCCTCTGGAGTATTTCATTAAGGAACGGTGGACTCGCTGACTATCCTATATATATACTAATTAGTGATAAATTACATAGTCATTAGGCTAATATTTATATGATGCGGATTATGATTCAGTTGAGTACGCGCATTTTTTACTTTCTATCTTGTTGCCTTAGGCCTTACTGCTATATATGTGACAAAAATCATCTTACGTCCGGGCGCGACACTCGGGATAGGAGCGGTATCGGACATGCTGTGTCCGTGTTGCCCTCGGCGTCGTGTCTAGGCCAAATGCTATTCACGGCTTCAATCTGGTGGCCCGATGAACGATGGTCCGGTTGTGAATGTATCGCGAGACAGAACCCTATGGTTACAAAGAAACGACGCTATTGGAGTAGAAGTTGTGGTACCACATTAATCTTTGGATTTGGGGAGTATCTATATATACGTTTGGCGAACAGTCGATTGTTGACGCCCGCTCCACACCTTAAAACCGGCCTGTTCGCGACCACGGTGTACCTCTCTTTAATAGAAGAGGGGGGGTTCTTCCCCGTCACGGCTTCTTTTCTCGGGTAAGCTGCTAAATCTGATTATTTCGCGCGCACCCGCTGGGTGGAATAGATAGCTCAGACGGGAAACTGCGAAGATGACATATTATTTTACGTTGGAGCGCACTGGAGATGTGGACCGCTTCTCTCGCCGACGCGCTATGCGGTCCTAAGCCTCTAGTGCTCGATAGCTTATAGTCGATATTATAGTTTAAGATAGGCTGCATAACCAGCTCCTGGTTGTCTGCTCGCCATCATATTGTACAAATACGAGCACTACGCATATTACGCTCACCTCATGACACTTATTCGTTCCTATGACCAAATATGTGTGTTGCTACGTGTGTTTTGTCGCGCATGCATATTCGGACGTTTTTCACGCGCGGAGGCTTCAGTTCGATGACGCGTGCACCAGTCGGGGCAATTTTCCCATCTCCGGTGAGCCCTGTAAAGCCCCCGGATGACGAGATTGTCACTCGCCTCAATACTTTGTCATCAAGTCAACCGAATCTTCCCTGCACCACATAGTGTCTGTCCATAGCGGAGCCGCGTAATTGCCGTAGTGTACGCGCTTGTGTCGTAGATTGCTTACGACACGAACATGTCTGCGGCGCGCTTACCTAAGCCAGCAGACAGATCGACACGGCTGTCGTACGGCGTCCTCGTTTTACGTGGCGCATGAACAGCGTTGAAGATCTATTTATATTAGGCATAAAGGCTGCCATCGTCGCCGCTCCGATAGCTATACATTCCGTTTCGCAATCTACTTAAGTATTAATTCCTTTGTGTAAATCCTCGGGCAGCACCTGGCTAGTAAGATTGTGAACCCAAGTTGGCCTTCTTATACTTGTGAAGTAAATTAAGACCCGGTCACCCCGCCTACCCTTACCACCCAAGTCTGGTTAATCGCGTCGCTTTAGACCGCAGTACTGCTTCTCGCGACTACGGCATCTCACCACAACATGCATACGCACGTACCTTACGCTCGTGTCTGTGTGGCGCGTGCACTCCGCGCACAGCATAGACCACGCGACGATAGCGCACCTTATGCCACGCGACGACACCCACATCACACAACGCTCCCTCAAAATACTTCACTCGCCACGCGTGCTCGACCGATATGGCAGCACGCGGACCACCATTCAACGGTAAAGTTTGTCATCAATGGTTTAAGAAACGGTAAAACGCGCGAACACATGATACGTGACGATTCCATTTGCATACCGGTAATGGCCGAGATATTTTCGCATTAGACTGGTAGCGGCCTATTGGCAGTTCGCACACATTACACTGTACGAGTCGTATTTATAACGGACTGTACTTATTACTTGCCACAGCTCGACAGCCAAAATACAAGTGTTCCCAATACTTCGCTCCCGTCTCCGTTCACTGGCGCTCTACTAACACAGGCACGGCCTTATCTCACTCCCTGCCAGCGGCATCATTTATTGCATAGAGTGAATCAGTACCGTCAATTACGGTTACAGGGCGTTCTGTCACCATAGCATTCGTTCTCCTCCAGGCGCTGCCTCCAACGTCACGCCAATTCGTGGGAACTAGCCGACGGGTGTGCACGTTATGGTGCCTAAGCGTGCCTGTAATAAGTAATCCTGTCTAACAAGTCCGGAATAGCCGAATGTTATATACAAACGGGCCTGTTAATAGGGTTATAGATATAAGAGTGATATGTGTTTGAAATGATATATACGCCTCAAGGGACATTATCTGATTGGAATCGGTAATGTATAAGTACTAACATCAATCTTACTAGTCGTTAGTTGGAGCAATCATTATGGTCGGGGATTCAATAAGAACCTCGTTAAAAGAAGCAATTCACAATTTTAACGTGACAAAGGGGGTCATCATCTCCTATATATGTCGCACTTACCTATATGATGCGCAAGCTTTTTATCTGGCGTTGGCGACGACCACGGGAGTCAACGCCAGGTACACCCTTCTTGTGCCAAGAGCGGAATGTGGCAAGCAGTAACTTGGCGCCGCGAGCGTGTGGTGCCTTATTAGCGGCCTCTCGGTAACACACTAGTGTATGTGGTAGCCGCCCGGATTATTCGGGCCCGCCCGTCGCGGATCTCAATCAGGCTATGCGGTCTATCTTTTGCGTTCCCTCGCTCGCCGGCGCAGATTCTGCCGGTCTGCGTTCGTCATGATCTCGAACGCGTGGTCGAAGGACAGGACATTGTAGGGGCTGTTGGACGCGCGGGGATCAGATACATACACGTGTAATCTGGAATGGCCGGCTTCTGTACGATTAGCATGTGCCTATTCACAACGCATCAACTACGACAGCACCTGCTCACACACACACACACACGACACACGATCACAGTCACACACATCACACACACCACACACGCAGCGAGCTCGCACACGTACGTCTACGATTGGCCCCTACGCGCTGGACGGCCGGGCGAACGGTCCACACGCAATTTTCGTGTTTACGCACACACTATCACTACTGGGCTCAATAGCTTGAAAGTCTACAGAAGTCCCTATTGGCCTTATTGACTGACATGAGTCTATTAGAGCACTGTTCTCCTGGGATTACTGAATAATCATGTTCGGTCGTAGTTGCGCGGTTGAACCTAAAGATATACTGTTCAAGACGCCTTGTACGACGTACGCGATAGCAGCGTGGATATCATCGGCAGTCGGTAGCTGCTAATACTAGCGGGCCAATTACGATTTTACTCATCCCTCGCGGTTGCTGACTTGTGCGCGCGCACTCTCACTATTTGGTTCACCTATACATGACGTGGCTGTTAATCAGACGGAATGTTCATCGATCTGGTTATCATTCCAATTTCCTCGATTATTTCTTGCCGGTTGGGTATTCTCCGGGAAAATTCTCGTCGGACTATGATATTTATCCCAAATAGTAAACCTCAATTTGCTACCACAAAGAGAAAAACACGAGAGAGCATGAAAGCAGAAGCAGAGGAGGCGGAGGAGAAAGGGCGTGTAAGCGAGATCCTCGATAGAAGAACTGGTTCGGTAAAATATATTAGGAAAGGCCGTCTCGCGAGAGCATACCGAGTTATGGGATGTGCATAAGAGAGGGAGCGGTGCCATTACGCAGAAGTGCAGAGGGATGAGCCGCCCTGGGCGGGTGAAAGCATATGAGACACGAAGGAAGACGATGGGGAGGTAGTTGGGATCGAGAGTACATGGGATTGGACAATCGTTACTTGTATGGAAGCCTAAGGTATGTAACCCGGAGGAGAACTATGAGGTAGAGAAAAGCGGGGGAAAAGTTGGAGGAATAGGGATCTGGTAAAGTGCGTAGGAAAGGAGAAGCGTGGAGGAAGAGAAGGTACATTAAGCGGAGGGAAGGGATGGGGAAAAGAAGGCGGAAGGGACGGAAAAAACAGTATACCGAGGTTTATTATTTGTTACCAATTTTCGATGTGACTAACTTTCTGAAGACTAATTTTCGTACCAATTTCTACTCTCTCTCTCTCTCTCTCTGCTCTCTCTCTCTCTCTCTCTTCTCGTCTCTCTCTCTCCTCTTTCTCTCTCTCTCTCTCTCTCTCTCTCTCTCTCTCTCTCTCTCTCGTCTCTCTCTCTCTCTCTCTCTTCTCTCTCTCTCTCTCTGCTCTTCTTCCCACTCTCTCTCTCTCTCTTTCCTCTAGCCTCTTCTCTCTGCTCTCTCTCTCCTGCTCTCTCTCCTCTCTCTCTCGCTCCTCGTCTTCTCTCCTCTTCTCTTTCTCTCTCTCTCTCTCACGCACACATACACTCTCTTTCTCATCCTATTTCTCTCGCACACACATGGGAATGCCATTTCAACTTCTACATATTAGCCTATAAGAAACGAAATTTCGGTGTTTCACCGAGTGATATACAGTACCAAGTTGGCAAGCTGGGCAACCAATAAATGAGAAAGAAACTCAATATAGTAAGATGACAGTAACATATTAGGCCTGCTAGCTGCCAAAACAAGATTCACTTGACAATATATAATCAGTATTTTCCGCCCATATCATATCATATCATATCATATCATATCATATCATATCATATCATATCATATCATATAAATACTTTTAATGGAAACGGATTTTCACCTAGTTGGCAATAATGGTTTTATCAATAAATACTCAAGTACTTTAATGAAGAAACCCTGGTCATGTCTTGGTAATTGTCAAACTGTGATCTAATATTGACATTAGCCAATAGTACACACATACTGCATGCAAATGCTCGTGAAATATAGATGGAATGTTTAAATATGAAATCGTAAATATACTCAATGCAATACCAAATAAAATTCATAGGCATTTTATAAAAAAATGAATGCAATCACAAACAGTGAAAATAAAACGCAGAAATGTTTAAAGCAGCTTATTGTATAATAGTAATACTGACATCGACATCCGATTTGTTTAGCCACTTAGACCTTCAAACACATTATGCAATACTTGCTGTGTATCAATCAGTATGTTTCAATATAGTATAACTTTACATAGCTAGAATCATATAACCTGATGATGAAAGATGGGACCACTCTTCAACAAAGCTGTTGCTGCCTGCATTTAGTGAGCAGGGATTAATGAAGAAGAGAATTAATGGAGAAGCAGAGAAAACACCATGGCAAGTAATACAATACACACACCTATAGAATACTCTGTTATATAGATACGTTCACAGTCACCTCCAAATAATTCATATTCCATGGGATTGTTACACAGGTATAGTAGATATTTAATACATGCTCAGCTGCGAAAATCTGTTTACCTGTTTAATTTCGTTTACCTGTTGAGTGAAACACACATGTGCCACGTCTGCTAAACGAATGTGTTTGCCATTACCACCTTTTCCATAACCTCTACCAAAATACAATACGGGAATGCACACTTTTACCCTGATATACCCTTTAATCCCCTTAATGATTTTTTTCCAATCAAGCTCGTTGCTTCTTTCTCTAGAAAATCTGGACACCAATATGTGTTGTAATACCACTTTACTTCACTTACATATAATCTCATCATAGTTACCATGAATACCAGCAAGCGTTCATGCTGCCGTCATTTTGAAAATAGACACATGCCGTAGCAATACTTATGACCAATCACAGTAAGGGATCGACGATCTCTACGGATAAGTCATCTGTTGACTGCGGCAGCTGCGTCGTCTGCTGTGTCACGCTCTGCAATGCATCCACCTGCTGCAGGACATTGTCTATGAATGGTCGCTCCGTGGGATTCACCCTCATCAGATCCTGGATAAGGTCAAGAAGACCTTGGGAGTACCTAAAAGAAGGAAGCCACTTGGATTAACCTACCAATGCCTCAGGTACTATATTTCATTCGACCTCCTTAGCTCAGCATGGAGACGGTTAACCTCGTCTATCTATGTTTTCCAGGCTATGCCGTTATCAGTTGCATGGCTATAGGCAGGTGTGTCAACTACTCACTAGATCTACTACAACTGTCCACTACATTACGTAGGCCTAATGGCAATGAAAGCTCGGATTTTAAAATAAATGTTATTATCAGAATGAAGCATATCAGATAGGAGATGAGCTGTACAATGTTGAACTTACGGGTGGTCTTCAGGGAATGAGATTTTCCCTGCAACAACAGCTAGTGCTATACTTCCCCCTTTCTCATATACTTCCTCGTATGGTGACTTGAAGAATGCCATTGCATATAGAAGACAACCTAAAGACTGTAACAGATGGGCACATTAAATGCTAATTTCATTATGACTTAATCTAGCAAAAATCTTTGAAACCAAATTTTGAGCTTTGCTTGATAAATTAATGAACATCGATTTTTCACAGATTTGTGGTGGGATAATAAACTGGTAATCAATCAAATTTTTAATGCGAGTGTTGCAATTATGAATATGTACCTTATTTATTCCTGACAATAGATTTAATATTTGTGCGTATATATTGCTGCGAGAAAGCGACTATAATAAAAGTCAAATCTATTTCTCTAGAGATTATTCTTGCTACAATTACACTGACTAGATACACTTGCTCACCCAGACATCTATTCGTTCATCAATTATTGTCTGTTTCTCCACATGGAAGAGCTCTGGAGCCCTGTAGGGCATGGAACATCTCTCGGCTGCCTCATCCTACAGAAAGAATCGATCAATAACATTGCAAAAGGCCTGGGTATCACCAGCACCTATACTATGTATTATATACACGCACAGTCATATGTCTACAGACATATAATATCAGTTGACTGCTTCACTGAAACATCAGTAGTTGGTGGAAAGCTAATCTTAATCAGTAAGTAATACATTAATACTTATACATTAGTGTGTCGCTTTTGTGTTTACGACTCACGGACCAGGGTATTAAACGGTCATGTCGTCCATAACAATGATATAAGCCCATTAAAATCTAAACCAAGGTGTGACATGGAACGTTTATACTTCCTATATAAACTTGTAACATATATATATGAATTGTAGCATACCTGTAGTTGAAGTGCATCAGATGCGGTTTTAACTTCTACTTGTAAAGGGCCAGCTGAGCCCAAGTCCATCAGTATAGGAATGTCATCGTCGGAAAGCAAAACGTTGGCCGCCTTGATGTCTCTAAGAGAGAATGTGAACAGAAGCTTTGTTAGAACAAATATAATGTATAGCTCTATTTATTATGAGTCCACATTTATACTACAGAATTTTTATCCAACAACTTCCATTTTGGCCATGTAAAATTAAAAATAGTACTTTTAGCCACCCTAAAACATTATATAATAAACAAAACACATGAAATGATCTATACCATGGTTCTTCCCAGGCCTTGAACACATGTCAGGTACACATGCCTTCAAAGCTAAAGCTAGTTTGCAACATCTGATAAATCCTCAGACACACCTTAATTGCATGATCAGTATGTCTTAATTTCTAGCTGTGTATACGTTTGACAATCCCAACACAGTCAACGTGGTTTCACATCTTAATTTTTACACATGTTCCTGAACTGATCGAGTTTACCTGTGTATTGGGGTCACTCGCTAATTAGCAATCAGCTATTAATTGCCCGATTTCCCAACATGTGTTATGACACTCCTGGGTAGAACCCTGTACACAATGTTTAACTTTTCGTATGGATACGTAGTCAAGGTAGGCTGTTGCACCAAAACTATCTCTTAGTTGAGTTTGGAAGCAAACCGTTGATGCTCAATTCTATTCTCACCTGTGTGTGAAACCAGCAGGCCTGTGATGGTGCATGGCCTTTACAGCTTCACATATGCCACGCAGAAGTCGTAGAATTCGGTCCTCTCCCATGTAGTCTCGCGATTTGCCTCGCATCAATAATTCGTCGGCTAGCGTTCCTCTCTGCGAATACATTTTGTTTATATTAGAAAAGAAGACGAACTAGGAGAATTACTTGTCTCAGCAAGGCTCGACACTAGCGGTGGCCCGGTGGCCCGGGGCCACCAAAACTTCATGTCGGGCCACCAAAATTTCCAAAAGTTAAAATTTGGTGGCCCGATCGGGCCACTAAAATTTCAAAGTGTCTATGTGATAAAAATAATTGTTTCTTACGTGCTAATCTCATTCAAAAGAGAGCGAGCAATTCGCGGAGCGAGGGCACACGTACGCACGTGCAGCATTCTACCACGGGCATACACGGGCGCACCATTTATCGATCGTCTACTGCGGCTGCAACAAGCCACGTTATTGTGTTAGACTGGTATCCGGCCTCACGCTCTGCTAGACAATGTACACGCTCTGCGACGAACAGTGCGGCCGCGAACCAGTCTAGCCAGAGGTCAAAATCTGAGCGGGCGCAGGCCATAGCATATTTGCAAGCGCCAGCATACATGTGATTACATTGTATCAAGCGAACCAGACAATACGCCTGTCTGCAGTGTACTGTGGAGGCGTATGTAAAATGAACGCAAGCGATGAGAGTTTCGAA